CCGGAGGTTGGGATGTTAATGCTGAGACTTCCCTGACTGTGACGTGATCGTCCCTGACGCTAATACAACATAATCATCCAACGCGTCTAAACTTTTGCTCTGCTGCCTTGCAGAGCACTAGGGGCAAAAACCGAGACCTCGACCGTCGGCCTCTTTTGTTACCAGAAATGTTGTAACACATTCCGATTTTTTTATCAAAGAAAATGCCTGCACAGCACAAACCTGAAAAGTCTAACGGATACATGTGGCGATTTCAGTCTCCCCGTCTCGTCAGGGAGGTCAGTCACGTCTGCGTTTCGCTGCTCCTTAATGTCCCTCTTTCAAATCTTTCTGCTCTGCTCGCTGTAATAAATAACCACAACTGCACTCCCTCCATCACTCTCTTTTGAACTGTTCTTTCATCTTTCTCCCTCATATGCTGCTCTCTGGTCACTGTTTTAATTTTTCTCTTCAGTCTCACTGAAGCATACATATTTCTTTAGTCTATTCAGTTAAAGTGTAAACCTTTAGCCTCCAAGCCATTTGGTTTGCTATTAAAGTAAGTATTGTCTCATCAGGATTTTTTCCCCCTACATAAGCAATGAAAGTAATTATTCTAATCTGTGCATCGCCTTCTGGGGGACTGGACAAAAAGCCAAAGCCACAGAAAAAAGAGAGAGGTTTTGAGCAATTAAACATTCATTAATGATGATTTTCTTTGCATTTAAGAAACACTATGTTCACCCTCTGGAATTAAATTTTAATAAGAGTGAGATATACAGTCCCTACCCCTATGTGGAAAAATAAAGGAGCTGAATATGTTATGCATTATTTTTCTAGTTCTTTTTTAAGAATTTAGATCTTGTATTGCGAGAAAGATGTCCTGAACAATAAGAAAACGTCCTCAATTAGAAGGATATTTTGTAATATTTTCACTTCTACAGCCCGAATCTCAGGACGAAAATGTACCTGTTTTACATCTACCTCTTTTAACCCTGACACAGATGTTCTTTTTTATGTAACTATTCGATATAAATTTTGCTGTCTCTCTGCCTCCTTTCCACCTCTTGCATCACAGCTTCCCTCTGAGTTTCCTTTCTGGTCTCTTTCATATCTCCACCTGCTCATCCTGTCCATTTATAATCTTCCTGCAGCATATCCTCTCTTTTCTCTCCTCACTTCTGTCTGTATTAAAAATACCGCTTTTGTGTCTTTTGTGCAGCCCGTAAAGATATTATCATCTCCTGCGTCTGTGTGGAGGTGAGTGATTTCCTTCGACTTAGTCTGACTTTCTTTTTCCATTTGAAGAGTTACGTCTTATTCTAAAAGTAAAGGAAGCGGAGCGGTAAAGCACTGGCTGCGTGCTTCATCATCTCAGCAGAAGCTCTTCTAACCCAAAAGGAAGGAAGAGGTGTTGAGAAATACCGAGATCCTGGTTTCCTGTCCACTTTGATTTCATTCTGCTGTTTCACACTTGGATGAAGACGGAGAGAATCAGCCGAGGTGCAAAACTAAAAAAGTACAAGAAAAACTTCATGATGGTGAAACTGGCTCGTGCCACCTGCTATTGTCTTCTGAACTGAGGATTTTCAAACATTTTTATATATTGTCTATTATAAGACAACCATAGTTGGAGCCACGATTTGAAGTCATAAGCCGTGGTTTATCTCATGCAGCAGGAAAAAGACGCATACGTTTATGACTGTGCCATACCGTAGCAACCTTCTAAAATAGCTCAAGGTTGGTTTTTAATAGCAGATACAGCCTGGTCTCCAAACTGGGAGGGAATGATAACCATCTTGTCTCACCTGTGTGACTAAACCTGTCACAGCATTCAGGAGAAATGCTGTGATTGAACCAGAAGTGACACATTACTTTCCCTCCACATCAACTCGCTCATGTCAGGCGCAAGTGAGCTTTCACTCCAGTTTCTGGCTGAAGGTTTTAGGTGAAGAAATGGCGAAAAGAAGTGGTGGCAGGTAAGCAGATGTGACTCTTACTTTCCAGATGACTTTTCCAGACAACCAATTGTTTACAAAAAGCCGACGTGTTAGGGGGGGAAAAAAAAAGAAAAGAAAAGAAGACATGGAGCTATACCCCCCGCCCCGGTGAGTCTTAGCATGGATCGATAAGAAGAGACAGATCAAGAGGAGACGTGCAAATGCAGAGAGCTGTCAGCTGGGTAGAGCAGCACATTCAGTCTGAGTGGAGATCGATGCGGGGATTATGTATGTCTGCTGGAATATTTGTGTTTGACATTGATTGGATTCTGATTTGATGGATGTGCTGGAGCAATGAGACTGATTAGATTTATCAAACACGAGCTGAAAATCTAAAGATGGGCCCTGCCATATGTCTGATACGACAAAAGGATGACCCACGGAGACAGAATTTTAAACTCTCAGCGATAGCTTTTTCATCACGCAGCATTCCAGCAGGAGCCTCTGAACGACTTCATCTCCCAAAGTGGGTTTTGTTAGTATGCACAACGTGAACAAATATTTTACTGAAAGAATGCTCTGCAAAAAAATGTTGTCTCTAAACATTTTGGATACATATATTTAATAATAAGAGTGTGCACCCTTTAGTCACAATATAGATTTAAGCAGTAAATATTTATGGCATCGTTTGGGCCTCTTAGTTTTTGTCAGCCTCATTTAAGTGTTTCAACTCAGTTTAGACGACTCTCTTTTGCATCGTCAGAGGGCAGAACCGCAGTAAAGAAAAGGCTAGGTTTCTGACTCGGAGGCTTTCGACAGCTTATAGAGCTCCCCATTGCAGATATGCCAGACTAACACCATGTCTGGTCTAATCCTTCTCTTTGTGAGATGAATTTTGACAGAGAGAAAGCAGTTACTCTGCACTGCACGGCGGGGGCTGAGGGACGTGCACATAAAGCCAAACCAGCCGTCTCAACACTGACCCACAGAGCTGTGCATTCAGCACGTAGAGAAGGAGTGTGACAACATTCTCCGATAGCAATGCAATTATAACTGTATATCTTTCATACACCCTTTATTTTACGCTTATCTAAGGTCGGGCTGAGAAAATAAAAGGTCCTGCAGGGCAGCCCAGAGATAATGAGGGGTTCCTAAACCAGGAAAAAAGGAGATATGGATGTGACCGAAAACCCAAAGAGGCAATCGGAAGAAACCCTGAGCAGGAACCAATTCCATCTGTGAGGAGGAACCCCCGCTCCACTGAGAACTTCTTCAGGAGGGAGTTCCTCACCCCATCTCTACAGCTGAGCTCCACAACCCAGTTTAACGCAGTCTCTTTCTCATTCACACCCAATGTTACAAAAATAAGAAACATTATTGTCACAGGGGGCTTTCTGAATTTTACATTCCAAACACACTTTCTATTCTTGGCTTCAGAGGGGTGAAAATCATTTATCTGGATGTCGTCTGGAATGAGCGGCCCGCTTAATGTTTTTATCGGTTTCGCGCACGAGTTAAATCATAGGAGTCAGAACAGAGAACATCATCTCACCGGTTTGTAAACCAAATAACTGTGACAACATTAATCATGTATGATTTGGTCGTTTGCGCTTAATGAGTGGAAACCTGCAGAGGCACGCCTTTATGCTCTCCTCCAGACTCTCAAAAGATTTTGATTTTGACTCTGAATTCTAAACACGAGTGAAGCCTTAAGATGAAATCCCTCCTGTGTTTTTGCACTTGAGTCCATTGATATGCTGAGGCAGGCGGGGGGGGTTGGAAACGCTCGCACAAAAACAAGTTGCAGCACGTCGTAGCTCGGCGAATCAAATGCAGTCCCTCGTGCCACCCTTCAATCAATAACTTCAGTGTCATGTAACTCAGGCCCACTCGAAAACACTTCATAACGATCGATCTGCGGCAGTAGTGTTGTTTATGTAGCCGCTGCTCCTCTCTTCGCATATGGAAGCGATATCATTTTCATATTTGCCCCTCAGGGGATAGCTCGCTCTAAAACCTCAGAGAAAACTGCCGTCTCCTGGTCCGTAAATATGATTGGTAGTAAGCTCCGGCAGGTCTTCAGTCCCAGCGGGAGCTGCAGAAAGGAATAAGTAAACACTTCGTGGAGCCCTTGAAAGGGTCACAGGAGTAAATTAATGTGCAGGCGTCTGTCTTTAAGCAAGATGCAAAGCACGTGCAGGATTTAAAACCACTGATGAGAAGATGAGAACAATGTTGCTGTGAGAATGACTCACCAGCAAAACTATGAAGCAGGACTAAAAGTCCTTTAGAGAAACTGTTTATTACACATTACTGTAACAATTAGAGAAGCTCTGTGGTTAACGGGGATGTGTCAGTGCATCCCGACATTTCCTGTTGAATTCTCAGTCATGCGTAGAATTACAACTCGGACTGCTTAAGCTGACGCGGGAAAAATGAAACGGGCCAGCAAATTCCAACTTTACAATTTCTGTTTAATCAACCACTCATATTTGAGTGAAGCGGAAAGCTTCTAATGAGGTTATATTAGAAACACAGTAATAGTACAACATGTTAGACTTTAAATGCAAACAATTTTGGAAGGAGGCTAAAGTCCTGTAGCCGTTTTCTCTATAGCTTCATGTATCAGTGATATTCTAGCAGAAGGGAGGTCACAACCTGTCACCTGCTTTAGACTCAGAAACGGCTGATAAGCACTATGGAAGCAAATGGTGTAGGAGGACATTTTTATCCGCGCCATCTATGAAATACAAGACAAATAGTTTAGTTTGCTCAACATCCCCGTTTAGCTGCCGCAGCACTTCTCAGCGCGGGGACGTTGGCTGTGTTATCTGCAGATCAACAGCACAGATCAGTGATCAAGAGCCAGATGCACATGAATGGTTGGAAGGCCGGCCAACAGGCTGATTCCGCACATCCGAGTGGGCTGCGTCCTCAAGTGATCACAGAGCCTGATTTTTATCTGAAAACCAGAAGCATGGCATCGCCGGGACTCTTCTCCCTCCATCACAGATAAGTGAAATATAATATCCTTTCTGTCCTGAGCGCAAGGGGGAAAAATATGACTCTCCTTCACTCAGGTTACTCTGTTGTTTTTGTCTCCACGGCCTTCCTGCTCTGGACTGCACACCGGGGCGCAAGCATTCTACTAAAACAAGGACAAAGCAAATGGGGGAGGGGATTTCTTTAAGGAAAAAAGCACATAGACTTTTCCAATCAGGCCTGGCGATACTAAAGTTCAAGGAAGGTAGCAGTTTGCTACAGGCTGTCATTAAAACTCTAGAGGGACCTTTTAATGCAATTAAGATAGACCTTGACCAGATTATTATCAAATAATTGGTGTCCATGTAAAGATACCCACAATGTGTATATTTGGGGGTTTGAGGGATTTGTGCTGAACCATTTGGTATATGATGATGCCACATTCACCTTGGCCAGGTTGCTACTACTTTAAATCAGTTTTTTAAAGTAATAAATGATCAATTGTTCAATAAAATGGTGAATACATATTCAATATATGTCATCAGTCATGCCTATGCATAAAAACAGCTAGCCAGTTTAAAAAAATAGATGTAAAAATACTGACTGAGGTGAAATCTGAACAACATCGGAGTCTTCACGAAGGGTCTAAAGACCTTGTATGATAGTGTCAGATAATAGAAAGGAAATAACTGTAGAGGAGCCAATTAAAACGGTTCTTTTTTGCACATTGCTCCCATCAGGGCAGACCGCTGAAAGCTGTTCTCTCAACAAATCAACAGACTTTAACCGTGAAGGCATTATATCAACAAGGTCCACAAAGTTCGTTCCAGCCGGCATCCTTTTTAACATCTGTCCCCATTGTGCTCGCCCATCTATTCTTTGGCTGAAAGTGCGAAAGGCACATCAGATCTCCATCTTTCAGATGTATGACCCTTCAGAAGCTGGAGCAGATATACCGAGCGGAGCTTTATTGGCTGCCTGACTGATGATAGCTGAGTGGAGGGAGGGGAAGAAAGAGAGACACAGAAAGGGAGATAAATAAAAAGAAAGGAAATCGACACATACTTGAAGCCCGGCGTCATGTTGGCACAAGTCCCCGTGCGGAGCCAGATGCAGTATGGGTCACGAGAGGCCAGGCATGCTCTGGAAAGACACAAATAAGGGAAGGATGGAGTCATTCTTTTCTTTTTTTTATTCTAGTCTTTGCTAAGCACCAAAATGGTCTTTCTCAAAAACTCTGTTATTCTGTTATTTATTCATTATCTATCCATTAATCTGCAAAAAAATACATTCAATATGATAAAATTACACTAACTTTGAAGGCGGAAGTAAATATTATTGACAAAATGGCCAACTTAGCCATTGGCGCTGACTAATACCACAACTAAAGTGGGAATCCCTTTATAAAAAATAAAAAAAATGAGAGAGATTTTTATTTGACTGAACATCTTGATTTTTACAATAAGTGAAATGCATACTTTGTTCTGGACCTTTCATGTGGCAGATATGTCAACACTGCATGAGACAACACGTCAAATCTAAAATTAAGCGTGTCTCAATAATTTGACACCTCCACTTTTTCTGTGTTCAGTCGCGGATGGCTGTCACACAACCCCAGCGTCTCCTTTAGTGCTCAAGACACGCACAGACACGAGCAAATCTACCCAGTTGTCACATCAGCCGTTGTCAGGGAGCCATTTTAGCATGAGGCACAAACAACAGCTCCGTTCCCCGACAGCGTCGCACACGAGCACACACCCTTCATCCAGTCCCAAACCCCGTCATCCATTACCGGTCCGGTTGTATTCACACTCTGCCAGTCACCCTTGCACACATAAGCCCACACAATTCACAGGCCAAACAGAGAGTTCACGCTCAGGCCAGCTCCAAAACACTGTGAGAGTACTCACTCATGAAACCACTCAGTCACCTTGTAGGGTTCATCATGAAAACAAAAAAGCAAAAGAACAACAAGAGATTTGTGCGCAAGTCAATGTATGTCTGATACTGTGAGTATGCGAGCAAATTCCTAAAGTTAGGAGAAATTCTAGCACGAAGAAAAGTGATGCACCTTGGTCATCCTGTGCCTTTAAGGAAGTGTACGCCGGAACACCCATGGAACAAATTTAATATGATTTCTTAGATCATTACCTTCTTTGGCTATGCAAAATAAACTTTGCCTTCTGCCCACAATTAGTGTAGCACAGCACAGTGATTTATGGGAAAAAGAACAGGAAATGTCCTGGAGACAAAACACCTTCCATCTCTGAACCCTGCTGGGACTTTTTCTTTTTTATTTCTATTTGAACCTGAGCACAGTGAAATGTACTGATAATATTTCTTTAAATGAACACCGTTGTGAAAATACGAGATGTAGTGTGGCCAACAGCTTTGAGATAGAGAGAAGCTCCACTATTATCAGTCGTTCAAGGTAGACATGTTGGTTGGAAAAAAGACGAATGGAGTATTGAATTTGAATACAAATTCTCAATTTCTAATGCAATCATGGTTGTTTTTGGCTTTGATTTCTTCGGCGTGGCTGACAACAAGCAGCTGTAATCAGTCTGTGTTTATGGATGGAAGCCTTGTGAGCTCTCAGGTTTACTTCACACTACGAGAAGAAGAATCAAAGACATGCTAATAGTGTTGTGCCACATGACAGAAAGCTGCTGCGAGTGCTCATATTCTGTGAAAAATGGTTCCTTTCGTCTGTCGGGGGTACATGGAAATGAAGCCAGTTGCAAAAATGTGAGTAAAAATATTTGGTTTCGTTCCCCCTACTGAAACAAGCCCCTTCCCATTAGCACAACTTGACAAAAGTAGCACATGAATGAGGGAAAACGTGAGCAGACAACTGCAGTTCCTCAGAGGGCTGTCTTTTGTTCCCTCACCAGAAGAAGAGTTACTTTACTTCAACCTTTAATTCTCAATTGAAAACTACAGCCTAACGTGTCTTTATTACTGTAGCCCAACTGAAGTTATATTGTTAACTGGTAAGCATGGACGTTTTACACTCCAGCAGCCTGAAATATGCGATGAACAGAACAAATTTTTAAGTAATTAACAACATATATAATTAGGGAAGGTTAAATAAAACAAAAGAGGGTCTATGTGAGTCATTTGCATGAGTCAATTAAGGGTTCCTTTAAACACTTGACTGGCTAATTGTTGCTCTTTAACTCTACTGTGGATTTTCAAACCTGCTTAATGAACGCGGGAATCCAAAAAACAGCGTGGTCTTTAGCATAATCGTTTTTACCGTTTAAAAAATAAAGCTGTGCCTTCAGTGTGAATCTTTTCCAGATTTTCTGATGGGAATTTGCTCCTTATGGGAAGGTTTTAGGTTGTTTAGTCAGACTGCTGCTAAACAATCATTTTATTATATTTAGGTATGTAATCTCTCCCTGTAGTTTCATTAATTAAACATAAAAAAGCTAATCTACTCATTTGTATTCCCCGACTCCTCAAACTGAACAAATGCTTATTTAAAATTAATAAGAAAAAAATTTCTAAGCTACTCTGTTGAGTCTGTATTTTTTTTTCCATCACCATGGAGAGTTAATTTTAAATCAAACTAGAATGACAGACATAACATTTGTCTTTCGATACTGGCAGGAAAAGCCTGCATTCCTTGACCCATATTAAGTTATTTCAATCCAAATCTTCCTTCTCAAATCTTTCGGAAATCTGCTCTGGTGAAGTCAACTTTCACAGCAGCGAGGCCTCATCTTAAATCCGAAAACAGACAGCTTTAGTCTGTTTTCCAAGTCCGCAGCTTTTGCAGGAAATTAAAAAAGCAGCGAATATAAAGAGTGTGCTCCCACTCGAGCATCTTCGTTACCGTCTTCTCATGATGGAGATCCAGCTGGTGGAGGCCTCTGTGCCACTGCAGCTGTTGCCACACCAGACTGGCTCACATTCATTTGTCCCTCTCAGTAATTAAAACTAGCCTGATTAACGTTGATGGGTGTGCACGCGCGCGCGATCCTCTCAAGTGATGAATGCGCTCTAATTTGGGCCGTGATCGCCATTCTTTTCAGTCTAATGACGACTATAAATACGGTTCCTTTCTGTTCGTATTTCACTACTCAGACCGGCATTTCCCCGGGTAAACACCAGCCTTTGCAGTATTGATTCTGTAGCCAAATTACGCTGCGCGTTTCAACGCTGAAAGAAATTCACCTGTTTGTGTTTTGTGATGTTTTCCCAGAGATAACAGAAAGCTAAATTAGGGTGTTTGGTCAAAGAGGGATACGGCGCGCTTCTGCAGAAAACCGCTGATTTGTCTAATCGCGTTACGGTGAGTTCACAGGTTGCCGAGCTTACTTTTTACACGCTCCGTGTTGGGTGCAGCGACTGAGTGGAACTCTGATGACACAGCTGCTGAAGGCCACAAACAAGGCATGGTGGTCCTTGTCCAACTCCAGTCCCAAAACCCTCCTGTCCTCCTGACCCTGAACGTTGCATCTGGAAACACAGACAGGCAAAAAATGTCACCACCAAACAAAAGAGGCCAAATCTTATATCACTTTCAGGTATCAGAGCAGGAGTACTTTGATGGGTTGTAGACGTTGATGTCCTCCAGGAGTTTGGATCCAAAGCTGTCATTTGGATGCGTGTTTGCCAAAACCTTTAAGACTCGGCCATCGTCTGAGCCCAGGAACATAACTGTTCTGTCCTTATAGGGCCCGGCTGAAACATCCACCACTATCTGGGTCAGTTTGGACCTAAGGAGAAAAGAATGTTACACAATTAGGAGGTCTGAGCATGGAGCAACTTTCCCACTCTGAAAATCATTTTCACTGTCTGACACTGACTGCCGAGCAGCTGCCTCTCAAAGTTGTTTTCCAATTTACACAATACCTCTTGTCAATTCATGCTATGAACAAAATATTGAGAACCAGGGTGCCAGAACCAAGAGAATCTAGAGGTCATTTGTACCAAAATAGCACCATTTCAACAATGGGGATATTTAACTTAATAATACATTTTTTAACAGTAGAAAAAATAGTAATGTGACCTTTATCTCCCTCAATATTTGTGTTAATCAGTTTAATTAGATATGTTTTTACTTTGCCCCTATCATTAGCTTCCTACTCTCCACAAAAACAGCCACTGAATGAAAAGAAATCCAGGCTCTTTTTTCTGTGTGTGTTGATCCGACCGATGTTACACAACAGAGCGAGCAGATCTGCAACACCCTTTTGAAAATGAGCATCATTATCTGGGTCAGCTCGGACTTCGCCAGCTCAGAGGCTGATTTGGACACGGAATTAAGAATCTCATTTCTATTTCATAATTGTAATTAGACTCCATCAGAAACTCATTTGAAACCTGCAGACAAAGATTAAAAAGGTCAAATATACAGAGAAGCAGTGGAAGATGAAGACAAAGTGAGAACTTCCTGCTAACGACTAACCACAGCTGAGACTGGTGATTATCCCTGATCCTCAGGTCAGGATGGAGGATTCACTCCCCGTCTGAACCGCAGTCATTTAGAAAACTCCTACTTTGACTTTTAGCTTTCACTCTTTATTGTCCTTGGCTTTCTGGGACTGTTAAGTTTGGTTATGTTTTTCTGGAGAAATAAAGCTGAAACTGACTAAAGACTTGATTAATTATTCATTTTGTACTTCAAAGGGACGGTAATCTAAACATGTGAATGTAATAAATGTTTAAAAAAACAGTCAGAATGCTGAAAATTGCTGTGTATTCAGCATGTTCCATATTTTCCTCTTGCTATGTATCAGAGTTTTATAAATCCCCTTGTTACAGTATAAACCCGATATGAGTAGAGTTAGATCTAATCATGATTTGAATTCATAAGGCACCCCTACTTGTCTCGTTTTCCGTGAACTACACAAATGATCTATAACAGCATGTTTATAAAGAAGAATTTCCAGATTTTCTAAAGTTAAAAACAAAAATGGCATCTGTTCAATGTCAATAGCAAAGTCTTTTAATTGATTTATATTGGATACTAATTCAATCTGATACCTCCTTCATTCCTTGAAAACCTTGAGTTACCGTTGATGTTTGAAAGCTCCCACTGTGAACGGCAGCCGTCAGTTTGTCTGTTTGACGCTGTGCTGTAAAATACCTGCTGGATGTCCTGGTGAAGCAGGGCCGGTCGTTGACTGAGGGGACGGCTTCATCCATCAAAGGATATGATTTGATGAAGGTAAGCATCTCATCAGGGAACTGAACCGAGGATTTGTAGTCTGAAGCTGGACCATCGCCCGCACAAGTACCGGGCCTGGAATTCAAGCAAAAATGATGACAATAAAGGTCAAGGAGACTGTCCGCCTCTACCAGTGGGTGAGAGAAAGAAACATGTAGCAAGGTTTATTTAAATTTTTTTATTCCAACAGAGCTGGGAAAAATTGAGTATAATATTCCAGAGATCATCAGAGTTATTTTACAATAAATAAATAAAATAAAAAACTGCAGTGAAGTCTAATTTGAATTTTGATTTGTTTTCAGAGATTAGAAAAGGGACCATCTACCTTGTTATTAGCCTCAGATAAGAAGCCTGCATCTATAGTGGTATTTGGGTGGATTAGTGCCTGAGGAACTTACAAATAATACATATGGAAACACACTATCACTACTGAGGGGGTAAGCTTTAGAGCACGTGCACTTCCATCCGGATCACAAGTTTTTCGGGGAAAGCGTTACAAAGATTAATTCCATAAAGTGCATCCTGTTTTTCCAGCTGTTTACAGACTGTTGTTCGACAGAATGGGGAACAAACGCAGCGGTAAAAGCCAACCTGCCACATTTTTAAGTGTCTTACTCAAATTCAAAGTGAGCTGATATCTTTCATCGAAAAGCAAAACGTCACACTTCACACATTCAATGCTCTCTGTGTTCTCTTCTGAATGAAATATGGATTTTCTTTACAGATCACTGTGTTCTTTAATCGTTTAAATTGTTCTTCTCAACTTAAAAAAAAAAAAAGAGTTGTAAACCTGGATTTGTTTACAGAAATGCATCACCTGGGCCTGGGAACCTGCTCATCCGGCACCGGAGTCCAGGACGAGTCACTGGTCCTCTGCTCTTTGAACTTCCCATTGAAGACTTTCTCGATGTCATCCATGTAGAAGGCACACACGGCTGAGCCTGGGATACTGGGAAAGAAAGTCGGTAACCAAATTAAACTGCATAACGAGTGACCGGAGAGTGTTTTTTGTGCTACACGAGGTCAGAGGACCGAGTCATTATCTTCAAAATCAGCTAAGGCATGCCTCCAAAATCCTGTTAAAACGAAAAGCCTCAAAACAGAGGTGGCAGTCACAGTGATTTCACCTAAATGGATTTTTTTTCCCACCAGCCCAAAACCCTGTAGGAGGACTTTGAAGAGGGTGTTTATTAAACCTGGCAGGTGACAGGATGAATCACATGCAAATGACACTGATCACCCCAAAGAGCTGCAAGAGGAGGCTGTTGGAAAATTAAACTCCATTCAAAGTCAGTCAGTAGTAAGGAACATAATCTTTCCAGTCAAGTCCAAAGCTTTCAGCATCATTCTTTGCTCCTCTGTCAGTCGAGCTTTCCTCTTCAGCTATTACGTTATATAACTGGTTCTGCCACAGCCCTCATTATTGATTGTTGTCACGTCTAAATCTAGCGAGTAGCTGCAACCACAGAATGCTGACAGGCAAAACCCACTGCGCGGCGGTCAGAAATAGCTTGAAGCCCGGCCAGATGATTTCTGTCATAATCAGGAAAAAAAATCTGAAGCATCAAACTCTCTCGCATCGTAAAGGGCTGCAGAGCTCTCTGCTGCTCTGTCTCTGACTCACAGCAGAAACCGTGTTACAAATTCTGCCCTTATGTTATCTCGACTGAGAGCAGGCAAATATAGGCGGCTCACTGAGACATACGGACAGAGGACTGACCCCTTTGCTGCCACACTGTCACTGCAGAAAGACTATAAAATAATGAGGTCAGCCTCCTGCGGTATCTGAGTACTTTGAAAAAAGAAGGAAAGGCAGCAGACGGGGAAATACGGTAATGAAAAGCACAAGTAGCATGAAAAACAGAGCAAACTAAATCTGCATTTTGTATTAAAAGTAAATATGGAGCTGTAAAGGCCCTCTTGATCATGACAAAATATTTGACCCTTACCAGAAATCTGATTCTTAAATGTGAATTTATAATTCAAGTCTTGAAAGAAAATCTGAGCACATCATTTCTAAATACACGCTTTGGTCAAAGTGCTTCCACTTTCTAGAAAAAAGAGGGGGAAAAAAGTATTTGCTTTCCATCAATTCTTTAATGTCCACTCTGGTCCAAAGCAACATCTTCCCTAAAACCAATAAAGCCATTTAAGCTTCTTTTTTTCTTTATAATCTAATTTCCTATAAGAAAAACATGTTAATTGGTTCTTTATTTTGAAAGAAATACCATAATCCAGCCTTCTCCTCTTACCTTGCAAACATCAAGCTTTCCAAATGAATCTGGTCTACTGTTTTTACTCTGTTGTTTGAACTCTATATGCCCCCAAAAGAATCTCCACATCTTTCATTTCTCAAAACAAAACATATTGCAATGCTCTCATACCAGCTGAAGTGAATGTAGGTGTTTACACCACAAACTCACACACAGTCTTGTGTTTCCTCTTTAATCAGATGACACCTTTCTGAAGTTTCACAACTACAGAGTCCACACAGATGCTGATTTTACAGATGTCGAATCTAACTTATCCACAGATGGATGTCTAAACACCTGCACCTCTGTGTTATATCCCACAGCTGTTCAAAAGTTTTTCTCTCTTGAAATCAAGTACAGAGATGTTGAAAATGGACTCAATTCTCAAAGTATGACACTTACCTGTTTCCCTGAGTGGTGAACACTCCAACCACTGCCGGTCTTTGGTTGATCTGCAGCACGTTGGTGAGAGACTGAAGAATGTCAAAGTAGAAGAAGGAGTCTCCAGGAACCGAACAGTTCAACCGGGCCTGAGCACCCGCGTTCAGAGGACACAAGAGAGCCAGGAGTTAGGGCGGTTTTGCTCCTGTGTGATCAGAGGGCAGTATTTCCATTGTCTTAAGAAAACTTCACCTTCAGAAAGGAAGTCCAGTATCTATCCAACACCCTGGGAGAGCCCCCGTTGTCATTCTTACAAACCCGGGCAACGCGGGAAAACACCACCTGGTGTCACATGAAAGAGGGACATATTTGTTAAGTCATACTCAAAAATGCCTCTATTTCCCAACTTTCCTCAAAAAACCTCCGGCCAGCCACAAAAAGACTATTGATTTTGTTGCCTGTTATATCCGAAAGAAGCATCGAACAAAGTGATCTTTAGCAGTCGGCAAAAATCACAGGTACCAGAAATGTTGGGAAGGAGATTAAAAAACTTTACGTTCTGTAGTATCTTTAAAAAGTTTGAACAACTTCTTTGCTGTTGAAAGAATTTGCTAGCGTCCATGTACCTTGCCCAGGGCGGTGTACTCCACTGCAATCTCACTGAGGAAAAAGTAGACGTAGTTACCATAATCGATGGCATGCAGGAAGTGAGGCTCTGCAGAAACAAAAAGATGAAAATACTGGTGAAAATACTCCATTATTAATATTGCGCATTATGTAAGTCCAGTGGGCGCTCTCATTTGGGTTGCTACAAAATAATTCGTTAAGGCTTCAGGAACGAATCCAGGAGCAGGCTTGATATAGAAAGGTCTGCTCACTGGTTAAGAAGGCTTAATCAAGGCCTTCTTTTTTTAGGGAGTCATCTCAAACTCCAGTTAAAACTTTGAAGCTTGGTTTCAGCAGGTTTACATCATAGTGTTTACAGTGAAGGTCTATGAAGGCACCAGAGGGGATGATAGAAAAACCTCTGCTGTCTGGTTCAAATACTTTGGGGAGTCAATCACTAGAAGTGATAAAAACCTGATCATCCTTGCAATTATTTGCGTCGATACGGCAGCACACTTGTGATATATACCTCGGAGCCACTTGGAGTCATATTTGACAGTCCTGAGAACAGGTCGGCCCTCTCCCAGGCTTCGGTAGATGACGGCATCGCTGGCCAAAAAATCTGTCATGGTGGCTGAGTAGAAATCTCCTCCTGTAACGCAACGTTTTTGTTTATTTTTTGCCGTGAAACACAGCTCAGATGAGTAGAGGGAATGACTGTAAATGGAAAATAATTTAATCTAATCTGTTAGTCCCTTTGAGGACTCAAAATGAGATGAAACAGACAAACAACAGTTCAGTTTAGGACACAGTACAGTGATTTCTGAATAATAATAATTATTTGGGTTTAGCTCACCTGCAAACAGCCCAACGTTGGACTGACCGGACTCAAATGGACAGCGCGCCTGGCCGACCACCTCCTCCCCCACCTGTTCCAAGGAGGTCATCTGAGAGCAGAAGGAAGAGACACATTTTTTTTTCAAAACTCCAAAGTCGTAATCTCTCTGTGTTTTTGTGCCAATAAATGCAGACTTTACTATTAATGGAAAAAGTGCAAAACGCTATCCACAGCATGCCTTTACTGAGGATAATAATACGGCTATTCAGCTAGTGTCAGTGGTCAGCAGGAGCTGGCTTCATGTCAGTGCTCTCCTGCAAGACAATATTGACACATACCGAAATGAAAGAGTAGTTTGACCTGCATGAAAAGAGAGTAAACTGAAGTATTTATGCGTCTAATTGAGTCTAGATAAAACGCTGCCAATGTTTGAAGAAATTATGGGACATCAAGAAAAACAACATGCACTTCCTGCCAGTGAAAAGAAACCTGGCTTCAGATTTTATTTGTGACAGCTTTCAAACCCACACTGATAAAAGGTTGACAGTTTTATTTGGGTATCTGCGTTAATTATGCTGCTGATAATGTTGTAGCTGAGCCGATAGGGCTCTGATAATCTCTCACTGTCAGCCCGCGGCCGTGTGGATCTCACCGCGCCCTGAAAACGCTAGCTGAATCGCTAACAGGGAGTTTAGCCTGCTGGAAGGCCTCATAAATACACCTGTCTTGTGTTTTCTCCCTCGGGAAGCGCAGCCCATTTCCAGTCTGAGAGTTCTGAACTCTCTGACCTTTCCACCAGCCTCGCTCACTGGTTTTAAATCATCCATTATGCTTTCCTCATGACATGTGACTAAGTACTCGGAATCTGCTTCAATAATTTTTTTTTTCATCTTGTCCTAACTATACAAATCAGGTGTTCCGTATCATTATCATTACTATTATTGTCATTATCACTATTATTTATATTTTATGTGTCATCTCACTTGTCACTTTAATCTCTTTCAGCTTGACCTTTTGCGAGTGGACAATGGGTAGTTGATGGAATTAGAATCCCAAGCAGGACTGAGCTTTTCAAACGTTACTGTTTTTTATAATAACCTACTGCTCCGTTTAAAATAAAGTTCACGTTTTCACAGTTATGATTTATTTTCACGACAGAAAGCAGCGGCCAAATAAAATGATCATTTCTGGGTGTGTGCACCGACAACTATGGTTAGACCGTGAACGTTTAAGTGGTGATGAGTGACCCCTCCCCCTCGTTTTTAACAGTTGGCCAAGGACGTCACAGTGGTCAGCCCCGTCATCGAATGTGATGAGTTGGGCTGTAGCTTGTGTGTGCATCACACACAAGCTGGGGGGCAACAACAGCCGGACTAAAGAGAGCGCAATTAACCCCAGGAGGATATCAGTGGTGTAACGCTGCACTGACCACCATTGGTTTCAAAGTGGAGATACCCACCACAGCTGTCACTGAGTGGGCGCAACTCTACCTGCTCTCCCTCTGCAAGAGGAAGAGAGTGAAAAGGCAGGATAGCGAAATTTACCGGAAAGATTATTGGCTCTCATTGAAAATCCAGACAGGGCTCTGCCTGCACAGAGAATATGGGAGCATAAAGAACACCACTCATTCCTCTTCATCATACAGACTGCATATGGGTAAAGATACTAAAGCGTCAGGAGTGTAATGCTATTTGCAACAGTGGAATGTTCCTACCGAACCCCATCTGCACACTTTGCACAAAGAAATCGCACTGCTTCGTCCATGACTCATGTGAGCACAGCGTTTCCATATTTATAACTCACCTTTGATTTCTCACACACTCATGTAATGTACTGCAGCCCATGTGGGATCAGCACGACCCTCAACGTCTGGCACATCAGAAAAAGGAAATCCTCTAGAGGGCCAGTGGCTTCTACCTCATAGCCAAGATTTAATAATGCTTAATGCATTCTCTGTGACAAACTTTTTTTTGGCCATAGAAAAAGGACATATAAATAGTTATCAAAACTAAATTTCCCATCATTCAGTTGAAGTAATTCTACTCGAGCAGCATTAGTTTTCTTACACATTAGATTAGGTAACCTGATATTCTTACTAGAATAAAATATGGGTGTAATGATGTTCTTCACATTCTTCACAGAGAATGAGCTGCATACAGAAATAATCCTGAAATACATTTTTTTAGGCTTTCACTTGTTATTATGCAGTCTTTTAGTTACCAGCTATTGTTTGAGTGAAACATCATACGAGGAGAAAAAAAATTACAAAACAAAAAGAAACAAGGAATTACCATTTCCCCGAGTTTTGCATATCTCCTTTTTTTCAACAAGCTCTTGAAACACAAATGAAAAGCTCACAATCTTCAGGCAAAAGTGTTGTTTTCATTTTTTTTTTTTTTTTTACCAAAGCTTCAAAGCACACATCCTTTTTGCTAAACAGGGTCATTCGCTGTCAATCAAACTTCCAGCTCTGTTATAGCAGTTGAAGATTGAACACAGCCCTGAGCACAACCCGAGATAGTGGCTTTCTGGAGTTTATTTTGGTGTTCATGAGGCATTTTGGGGCATGTTACACATTCAATTACAAAAACAAGACTTTTAAGCTAAAAAATGAACAGATAAAGTGAAAAACAAAGTAAAAGACCTCTCACCTCTGGATTTAACAAACTAACTTGATCATGTTATGAGATGTCTTATGTTTCAGTGCTGCCTTTTTAAATACATAATAAATAATATTCTTTTTTAATTAAAAAACAAGGATTGTATCATATTTGAAATCAACAGTTATTTACACTGTTCCATCCAAGTTTCAAGGTTTAACAGAGAAGCTGAAAAAACCATGTAAATCCACGCTGCGATTACTAGATTTTTGATAAATCGAACGCACCTGAAACGCACTGTTCAACGTTTCATAACGTGTATTTGCTTTTCCTTGTTAACCTTTAGGAATCAACTGCTTCAAAATCCCATCTACGTCTACAGCTAATAGAAGAAAGATAATGAATGAAATATTCTTCAGACTAATGCATTCTTTTTCTGGTAATTCAATACTTTTTAAGACTTATGACACCTTGTAGGTATTTCCCACCAATGGAGCTTGGAGGCTATCAATATGCATTGATTTCAAACTCAATACATAGAAATGCCTAAATACCAACCCGATGGCAATGTTTAACTGACAAAGATCTTTCACTGAGGTGGGAAAAAGCAAGTTATCGTACTGTAGCACTGATTACTTGGGGACACCAGAGACTCCATGTTTACCTTGTAATTCCGGCAGGTTGGGTTGAAGGCATTGGTCCCACAGGTGAAAAGGGTCTCGTCATTTCGGGGCACCAGCACTTTGACATAGTTGTAGCACTCGTCCTGAAACGCAGGGAAATATTGGAGGAGATAAAGTTTCGTCTTCACAAGAATGAAAACAGAGCAGAACGAGTCCGAAGTTTGGCTGTGAAAATGGCAGATGCATAAGGTGGACACTGGAAAAGTTGCCACTCACGCTGTTCTTCCCTCTGACCGTACACTTGCTGACATCTTTGGATCGCCACGTCAGCTTCTGAAACACAGGGGGAAAGTTTACGTTCTGCGCCTGGGGAAGAGCGTTGTTTCTGGGAGTGCACGGCACACAGTTGAAAAGGAAGTCAAATGCTTGAAGACACACTTTGGCTCGGCTCTCTTTCATTTGTTAAATTGAGCAAAAGGTTCACAAAAATATGTTGTATGGACAACAAAAGCAAACCTTAAGGTTAAAGGTCTTACTTTTTGCCTTTCTTTCGAAGCTCACTACAACATCTTAACACCAAATTGTCTTTGGAACTGCTTTCATCACCTGCCGTGGAGAGGTGATGAGAACGTGCTGTTCTCGATTCATTTACTTCACAACTACAAAGAGGACTTAGAATTAAAGAGACTTCACACCAGCCATAAACCTTCTCATCTTGATTTTCTTATTTAGAAAAAATAAACATGACGGGATTATTGCAATTACTGAAATATATATTTTTTTAAGTGTGAAGAAACATTCAAGAACAGTTTAAGAACCCGTTTGGACTTTTAGAAGATACTGCAAACTCTGAATACGAGGACATGGATTCACATGTAATCCTTTAAAGCCTTCTGTGAAGTAAAAATATTTAAAGATGCAGGGATATAGAACAGGAAGCGATGCAGTGGTGAACTATACTGCCGAGGTTGAATCCTTAATAACGAGTGCAACAACTGACATCAAAGCGCTGCTGTGAGTCCACCATCCCACAATACACCAGGAGGCCCATTACTGTCAGAAGCCACCCTGTAACCTTTTCCTTTTGATGAGGAGAAGGTGTGCAGATCAAAGGAAGCGTGTCCTTTGTGCTGCCTCGCATATTACAAGCTGTAGTTTTGTTCTTCCGCCCCGACATTAACTGCGTCTGTTGTGCAAAAAGTAAAAAGGCTCTGTTGCTACGTTGTCAGCCGTCAGGTGTGATGCAGTTCACAGGGATTCTGGAGAAGGGTGCTGATGTCAGACCAAATCATAGTGCAAGGCCACGGTGCGGCAATTAGCATCATTACTAGATAAGAACACACAGAAATTTGTGAATGTTCCTGTCTAAATTTCCAAGCAGGATTTTAATCTTGGGTATAGTTTTCCTTTAAAATAAACTTTAAATTATAATATATAATGTATCATTCTAAAATTTATAATTGTTCCATGGAAAATAAACTACAGCCCACTCACTGAGGCACAGATGGAAACGGTGTGCCACAGGGCTCCATCACTGGTACACTGCAACTCAATGCAAAATATTTTTTTTACTGAAACATTTCAGCGCACAATGCAGCTTGCATTTCCTGTAAAGATTGTTAGAGAATTTAAATCTGTCCTTATTGTCAAATATCTATAAAATAATAAAAAAACATAGCTAAATATATTTTATTCCAGGGTATTTGACTTATACCTTGAAAATTCATAGTTATACAATTACTGTTCCGAAAAGAAAAAAAAAGTTTTTCCACCAGCGTGATATCAGCGCTCAAAGAGCAGCAGCTACAGGATCCCACTGGGAAACCTGCGCGGCACACTCATCCTCAGATCTCGAATATTTAATGCCGATGTGTTTGTGTTCTGTGGAAACAACAGATCCAAAAATAAACTCTTTATCATATAAATCCACTCACCAGCTGTGGGACAAACTCTTCTGAAGCCGTCGTCAGGTTCACAGCAAATACATGATCCCTGGGGAGTTCAAAGCACAGAGTCAGATCTCGCAGTGCAGATTCACACCTCAGAATATTTAGTGGGTTCTGATTATTGTACTGCCTCATGCTCCTGTTTGGCTGGATTCATTTGCAACTCTGTGGCAAATCCAGCGTTAAACCATTGTAATGACACATAATGCAAGTTTTAATAGTGGCAGCTGTGTCTTAGTCTTTCTTTGTAGAGGTATTCCCTTTATATCCAGCTATTTAAAGCTTTATTTGAGTTGTCTGTATTCTTAATCCGTTCCCAGAATCTCCCTCAAACCAGGGTTTCCCTCTGAGTGAGGTGAAACAATTAGTGCAAATGATTTACTGAAAAATCTAATAAAACTTTTGTCTTGATGTCAGTTAAATAGTCAAAGTATTTTAGAAAATTCTATAGAAGGAGAATAGTCGAATAGGTTGAACAATAGGACAAAAATTTCCAAAAGCCTGTTATTTCCTGAACTGCGGAACGCCTGCACAGTTTCTCACTGATTTTCTGCTCCGGACAAGGAAGGTGGAAAATTTTTAAATCCCTGACGAGGTGGGATTGATATAAAAAGAGACCAAAAGCCAAACCCACCCCTTACGCTTAAACAATGATACAGGTCACTATTGCATTTTCCCTAGTAGTGTTGTTCCCCTGGCTTCTGTCTCACAGGATATATTCAAATAGCTCTTCGTAACAAGGTTCAAGGGGCTGTAAAACACAACTGTAGTCATGTTATGCCTCAGCCAAATAATCAATGCATTCATTAAACTGTGTCATACTTCATTCGACTGAGGGCATTTGAGGGCCATGCAGAAGCTGACCTGCAGTGGATTTTTCCAGCATTACTGTTAAAAGGCAGCTTGATGGAAAAGACTTTAAGGCTATTATGAATACAGAATATGATAACACAGTTGAATTCGGGTCGTGTCCGCTGACCTCGCTGCAATATAAAGTATGTGATTGATCCGTAGCATTCTCTGAAAGTCCAGGCCCAGGCGCAGCGTGTCGTTGTCCTGAGGCAAACCATGAAAACCTGGATACTGGTACGACTCTGCAACGCAAACACAAACAACACTGAGAACTTAGAAAACTACAGAAATACAAGTAGAAGAAGAATTTCATAGATAAAACTGTTTCCACTGGTGCCGTGAAGGCCCCGATCAGAGGGAGGCGCTCACGTTCTGAGTTGACCACGCTGAGAGGCTCCAGGTCCTTTGGGAAAGACGTGGTGGAGGCCGACTCGCACGGGCAGCAGTCAGAAAGCAGCAGCAGCAGCAGCAGGCACTTCGCTTGCTGCCACGAGGACAGCAAAGCGGCCGGGGCCATTTCGCAGAAAAGCTCAAGGAAGGTGGAGGCGAGGTGGGGGGGAGGGGGGGCCAGACCGTCAGCAAGTCATGTTGAACATCAGCTGTGAGGAGACAGAAAAAGCAGAGTAAATGAGGCTGAAAATAAAAGCTAAAGTGTTCGCTCATCCTGCTCGGGCCATCAACAGCCTGTAGCTATAAATTACGAGGAATTAGCATTTAGCCTTGCTGTTAGCCCTGCATTAACCTGCAAGGCTACAGAGCACAACATGCAATCAATTGCAGGAATTTGCATACTGATGGCACTGCTCGTGTCAAAGATGCCCGCACACACAAGCACACACTTATCAAGATTACATTAAGGGTTTCACAATTACTAACAGCATCTTGTGAGGAGCAGGTTCAGGTCAGGTGACAGAATCCGATCAAATGTCAAATTTACTGTTGCAGCGGAGTCAAAGTTGCACCACTTTTGTTGCCGTGTTCATCGTCCCTGTTGTGGTATTTTCTCGTCTACAGGAGGTGTTTCAAGCCTCATGTTAAGACCCCAATTATTTCAGTTTCCAGTTAATTTATCTGTCCTAGTTTTGTTTTGATAAACTGCTTTAATTTACTCCACATTGTGTTCAGGCAATTAATAATCCAATCCAACCTTTGGCAATGTTAATTATGCCATCTTAATAGATGGTAAAGTCGCAACGAAAAGTTTGTAAATGTGTCACAAAAACGGTTTATTTTTTTCTTAATTTCTAATATCTTTTTTGTACTATATAAAAAAATACTATATTTCAGGGTATTCTGCGATTTCTTGTGGCATTATCTCTGATCCTGCGCTTCTACCCTTCCGTCATTTCTTCAGATAGACATTAATTTCAATTGGTGAAACTTTAATGTGTCCCCTCGTAACCTTCTTCCTTTATTCCTCAGGTTATTTCCTACAGTGAAAGGAAGGAAGCATGACGAGGGACATGCTTTCTTTGCGTCCTCCCTCTCATCACTTCCCTGCTGTTGTCTCCCCACTGCCCTCATTTGCTTTGTCATATGAAGTGACAAATGAAAAGAAGAAAGGTAGTCCCTGAGGTGGCAAAGACCACATTTTCCTCCTCTTTTTTCTCTGGTCTGGAAAAAGAGGGAAATGTCACTGTGGTGCGCCTCGTACAGCATCCCTTTTCGACTTCTTTAGTTTACCATACATTTCAATCTAACTAATCATTTCAATCGTCGTTTCATCATCATGACAACACGATCTAATCTTAATTCCTTTGATTTCCACATTATGCAGCAGTGGAGAGAATCCAAGCGGAGAAAATTGAAACACTGAATGCCACTTTTTTCAGACAACACAAAAGCACATGTGGGTACCTGCTAACACTGATCTGCATATCTTATAAACACAAATAGAAAGTTTGAAGGCACCAAGCTGGGGAGAAGAAACACAAAGAGGACGACGACACGCATACTTATTTGGATTGTTTTTAAAACCTCCGCAAAGACAGATTCGATTATGTGTTGCCAGCAGGAAATCCTGTTCTGGAGCTCTGGGATTTCACTGCTTGTGCTAACAAAGTGCCTTTCACTCTTCCTCTTGACAGTTTAGCAGAGCAGGGCTTATATTCTTTTTTTTCCCTTTGGCAATCATAGACACTTCCCCTCCTTCTGCTATCAGAGGTACTGGTTTGGCAAGCTTTCACGTCCAGGCTGTATTGGACCTGATATCTGATGGGCTCCTGCTGAAGTCTGAACACACCCACTCATTCAGTTAACGAGTGCGCCATGTCAAAAGTTAACTGATGGCATTTCTTCCCCTTTAACGAGATCGTCAGCTTCGTTGCGTTGAGCTTATGTTTGTATACAGCAAACAGCCCAATGTAGTTTTATTATGGCAGGAATGTCTCCGCTAATGAAAGCGTGTCAGTCACAAACACTCCCTAATTGGGTCTCGTAAGATCTAACCCGCCTACTATCAGTGGACCACAGTCCTTGTCCGAGTGCAAGCATACACCAGGGAAATCGAGTTGTGCTGTACACAACACTGCATACTGTATGATAATAAGACATTCTGCCAGTCCTAACCTCATCTGTGTGGAGGCACCAAGTGTAAATAAAGCAAAGGTCCTCTGGGTTAAAAGTTAAGTCTTTCAGTTACTTAATCAAAGGTTTATTCTGTGGAAATCTTAACTAAACTGAAGGAACACCAGATACTAGTATACTAGGACTAGACAAAAATATTTACTTGACCATTGGGCAAAAAAGATTACTTGTCAAACAATACAAGTAATCTCTAAAGAAATTGGTGAAAAGTTTGGTCCGTTCTATTTAGCTACAGCATTGGCCAGATGGTTGACAAATGGTTGGCACCAGAAAAACTTTACTAATATCAGCAAAATCCATCACAAACTAGCCAGACATTTAAATAATCATTATTTTCTCCATTGGATCTGAAATAGCTTGGCACAAACGGCTTCCTAACTATCTTAACTTAGAAATTACATTTGGTTTGATGTTTTCACAATCTACAGAAGATTATTCTTTTTTCCTGTGTTTGTATATGCAGCTGGGAATAAGCGCATTAGCTCACGCAGCACAGGCTGCAGTGAAGGACCACTGACCCCCCCTTTATCTGACGAAGCTGCAGTCTGTAAAGTACAGTCCGAGCTGAGATGATCAAACCTTCATCCTGAGCAATCTGCATGAATTTTCTGCTTTGTTTGCGCGCACATTGTGTAAGTGTGTTAAAAAAAAGGTATGCAGGTGTTTTTCTTTTTCCCTTTTAGTCATCATATCACTCTGTCAAGCGGATCCCTGTTTTTAAACCACCAATAGGTAATGTATTATAATTGTAATGTAACCAACATTATCTTCGAATAATGTAAATTATAAAATGTTAGAGGATATGGCAGAAACTGAGAGTACAGTAGAAGAAAATGTAAAAAGAAGACATAAGCAAACCTGGTAGATATTTCTTTTGCTACCAAGTAATGAAAAGATACAACTTGGCACTCTGACATGAGTCACAGCTCTCAGTAATAACAGCCTTTCAAAAAGGTCTGTGCATACGAGCTTTTGTGTGTCTAAGCGCAGGTGTGTTTCATTGCTTAAATCACTAATTTGCTGCTCGGAGCCAAAGCAGCACCGATGTCAGTTCTCATTCACTGAGACACGGTTTACACAAACTAGCTGCTCTAATGAATGACTGGTCCCACAGACAGACAGAAATATAAACACATGCTCCGAGCTCAACTCAGAGGAAATAAACCTGATTCGTTTTTTGGGCTTTATTTAAGACCCGGTGTGTGAAGCCATGCCCGATCCACTGAACGTAATTCACACCCGGATGGGAGAGTGGTGGGTGTGTGGAGTGGTCACAGGTAAGATATTACTCCACAATGGCCCGGTCGACTCAGCTCACATTCTTTCACATGTTGCTCAATCTGTCACTACCTCAACCAAAGTCACTGTGGGAATGGTCTGAACGAAATAAAATAAACAGAAGGATGAATGTCTCAAAAGTCGGTGCAAAATTAGAAAATGGCCAAAGTCAATTTTGGTAGGAGATTAATTGCATTGTAATTCACTGAGCACATTTATCTATTTGACGACTGCAGTATCCCCCAGAAATATTATCAAAGAATAGCTCTACTTACAAATTATTCATTTTAAATACTAAAGTTTTAGACCTTTCCATCAAATATTGATCGAACTCTGCAATCTCATACTTCTGATCTAATTCGTCTTTTGTGTGAAAAAATTAGCAGAAATGAGGAGCTAGGATTTTATCAGCTCTATATTTTTCGACAATAAAAACACTCCTATGATACATATAATATAATATATTATTTGATCGGAAGTTTAATTTAGAGGATAGAGCATTGAGGATGAATGTAGAACAGGAGATGGCTTCACTTCATTCAGTAAATCTCTTAATAGCTCCTCCCTCAGCCTTATCTTTATGATCAGCTTTGTCACCTCAGGCAGCAGCTTATTTATCCCTTCAAACAAATGTCAATATCACCAATAAGCGCTCTTTAAAGGAGGAACTAATTAGCTCTTTTTGGACTGCGGGGGAACTAAACACCACACAGAGTGATTGATTGGTGCGATTTGATTTCGGGATTACTGACCACAGGCTTGTTCTTTGCTCTTTTCTGTGGAGCATTAAGGTGAAAAACAATCTGACATTTCTACAGTTTCCAAAGCAACTACAAAAAACAAAGGGGTGTTATACAAGCTTTTAACCTTTTACGAGGAAAACAACCCTTATTATGTGTCTAAAAAGGTTTTCACTTCAATGAGATGTTTAGTTCTCTGCTTTCACTATTCTTTCCTGGATTGAAATCTTTTTCTTCCACCGTTTCTATTTGTGATAGCTGTTTGTTCTCTTTTATTCCGCGTCCTTAAACTGTTTCAATTCATATGTCACTTTACCTCTTTAAAATCAATCAAATTTCTCAAACTGTCCGACTTCTGTCCTAAGATTGGATCCTTCTTTGTGTTCTTACAAGTAGGAAACCCCCTTTTCTTTATCTAAGGATGCAAACTGAAATATACGAGTCTGCATTGATCTTCATCAGTCGGCCTCGACTCATTTAGGTGAAACATCTTGTTTTGTTCTTGCTATTTGCATGGTTTCTGTAGTCTGAACACCATCCACATGCTCACAGAAAGCACCTGTCAGTTAGAAAGCAGGAGAAATACATCACACCCCATTCAAACAGGGTCTCCAGTCTCTGCTACATTTCACACAATAAAGGAAAATATTAAGATTGGATCATGAATCTGATCTGGTTCGGCCGCTGCCGTCCGCCCACCAGACGGACTGTGATCAATTACACGTTCGCTTCTGGATTAATCAATATTACACTCCCTCCTGTGGGAGTTAGGACATTAAGCTCAACACGTTTAACCCTTCAGTGTCCACCGGTCTGCCTGTAGCGGCACAGCACTGCTGTGATCAGCAATCGCACTTTTAATGAAGTCACACATTTAAAAACACGATAGCAGAAACTCAAATTGCAAAATTGT